AAAATATTTCAAAACATTTGGGGTACAGGGGCACCTGGGTGGCTCAGTTAAGCAGCTGACTCTTGAGTTCAGCTCAGGTTAAGATCTCCTGGTTGTGAGTTCGAGCCCTCATAGGGCTCCGTGCTCAGGGCAGAGCCCACTTCGGATCCTCTGTCTCCCTCTCTCTGCCCCTCCCCCCCACGCCCACCCCCATCCCTGTGTGCTCACTCTCTTGCTCTCACTGTCTCTCGCTCTGTGTGTCACACACACACACACACACACACACACACACACACACACACACACACACGTTAAAAATTTTTAAATAAAACATTTGGGATACAAAGTATCAAATAACCCCACCATCTAGAGCTAAGTAAGCACTATCACCATTTTTTATCTCTCCATTCGGATGTTGAGAGTCTCACACCCACGCACACACACTCAGATGGAGGAATCGTATCATCTTGGTCTTTTCCTTTACATGCCCAACAGAGAGCCAGGGAGCCCTCTGGTAAACCTACAGCCCCCATCATTTAACCCTCTAGAAAAACCTACTACGTTGGTTCCATTTACTCTCCAGGCTGCAAACGAACAGCCAGAGTACACATCTTTGAACACATCTTAAATGGACTCTTTCAGATGACTTCGTCAAGGTGGAATTATTGAGCCAAAGGACTTGAAGGCTTTCAATACTGTCAAGAACGGTGAAGGGTGTGTGATTCACCCTTCTTGCAAGCTAATGAGGTCGCCGGCCACTGTTCCACAGAGGCAGCGAGAGGACATGAGACCCTGGTCACAGTTGAGGACAACGCATTACTGTGACCCAGAGCAGTGGCATTTTGGGGCCAGCTCCCTGAGCCGATTCCCTGTGCACCCTGTGAACGCAGGGGGCTGTGTTACAGGACACGGGAGGGACGCAGAGTTTAGCCCCCCCACCCCAATGTGTTCTAATGAGCAGAAAGCACATCTGCCCCTGGTTCTTCAGGAAGACACTCCATCTCTTAATCCGTGTGCTGCACAAACATCCGTGAACAGATGGCTGACGACAAAGGTGCAGCCAGCTTCGCTCGCCAAATATGCAGACATGAGAGACCTTGGAAGACAGACCCCTGGCAGTTAACATTTCTGAAATGTCCCCCAATTGAATGAGACTATATGTGACCAATAATTTTGATTTTTGCCTGTATTAAAAAAGGTTAAAATTATCAGTTTTCATGTTATTTTACTGAATATATTTTACATACTTAATGCTCATTTGCTTACCTAATTTTTGGATTACTTTCTCATATTATTTAGTCTTCTTTCTATAGGAGAGCTCATCCGTATATATTGAGTATATTTAACTCTTACATACTGAATATATTAACTTTACTGACTATATTAATTTTTAGGCTCACATGTAAATATTTCCCCACATTTGTCATGTGTCTGAACTTCTTTACAGTGTTTTGGAGTACTTATATATAATCAAGTCACTCTTTTCCCTTATGACTTAAAAAAGCCTTATTTACCGGGGCGCCGGGTGGCTGTTAGGTGTCTGACTTCAGCTCAGGTCATGATCTCATGGTTCATGGGCTCGAGTCCCACGTCCGGCTCTGTGCTGACAGCTCAGAGCCTGGAGCTGCTTCAGATTCTGTGTCTCCCTCTCTCTCTGCCCTCCCCTCCCTCCCTCCCTCCCTCTCTCAAAAATAAATAAACTTAAAAAAAAAAATAAAGGGGCGCCTGGGTGGCTCAGTCACTTAAGCGTCCGACTTCAGCTCGGGTCATGATCTCATGGTCTGTGAGTTGAGCCCCACGTCCGGCTCTGTGCCGACAGCTCAGAGCTCTGTGCCTGGCTGAGCTCCTTCAGACTGCCTGAACCTTCAATTCTGTGTCTGCCTCCCTCTCTGCTCACACTCCTGTCTCACGCGATCTCACTCAAAAATAGATACTTAAAACAAAAAAAAGGCCCTATAACCATGAGTAGAAAGTAATAACCAAGACAACTTGGTGCTCAATTTTCCACATTTTCTATCATGTCCTTAATAATAAAACTCCTAACTTTGACTGGACACGCTGTCACCTAACAAAACACCATATTCACCAGTCTCCCTTGCTGTGAGTTACAGCCACGTGCCTAAGGCATAACTCAAGAGACATTTATGAAGTGTCGTAGGAGAACTCAGGAATGTATCTTCAAAGGGCGAGCAGGGTCCCTGTTCAGTCTTCCTGCAATCAATCCACTTTTTGGATGTAGACCATGGTAAAAACAGCAGCCCTAGAACATACCATGGAAGTCTAGAAGTCTGGGTACCTGATTACCCAGTGAGGTCTACACCAGATCTGAAACACCTTGTGGAATTTTTTGACATTAGTGAAAAATAAACCTCTCAATATTTGCTGAGTATTCTCTTCTGCAGGTAAGCCTAAGGCCATTAGGTCACCATTATTAAAGTGTTTTCTTCTGGGGAGACTGGGTGGCTTAGTTGGGTAAGCATCTGACTTTGGCTCAAGTCATGATCTCATTCATGGTTTGTGAGTTTGAGCCCCACATCAGCTCTGTGCTGACAGCTTGGAGCCTGGAGCCTGCTTCAGATCCTCTGTCCTCCTCTCTCTCTGCCCCTCCCCCCTACTCATGGTCGCTCACACTCTCTCTCTCTCAAAAATAAAACATTCGGAGCGGAGTGCCTGGGTGGTTCAGTCAGTTGAGCATCCGACTTCGACTCAGGTCATGATCTCACAGTTTGTGAGTTTGAACCCCGCATCGGGCTCTGTGCTGACAGCTCGGAGCCTGGAGCCTGCTTAGGATTCTGTGTCTCCCTCTCTCTGACCCTTCCCCGCTCATGCTCTGTCTCTCTCTGTCTCTCAAAGATGAATAAACATTAAAAAAAAAAATTAAAATAAACATTTTAAAAAATGCTTTCTTCCAATACATTTACAATTTGACATGTGTATAAATATGTGTATAAGTGTATGTTTGGCTATTTTTTACACTGAAATATTTAGTCAATCTGAGAGCCATATTGGTATAAGGTGTAAGGGAAGAATCTAACTTTTCCCCAATTTAAGCCTTTAAGTATGTCTGAGATCCTCTGTCATATTAATACACACATTAGGAGTTCATTTCCTTTACAAAAATGCTCCTCCAAAGACATCTCTCTCTTCAGAAGATACTTGAAAATGGAAGGCAAGATTACCGTTTTTTAAAAAACAACCGTTTTTTAAGATTGTAATGAACACAATTCAGCAATTACAGTCTGAAATATCTAGATCTACGAGCACAAAAGGCACTTCTGGAAGGCCCCGGGCAACGGTAACACCCGTTATCCTTTGACTGCTTTCAACAACAGTACTTTGTATCTCCAGAGAGCATCTGAAGATTAAAATCCACAAAAGCTTTTCTCATTCTAAAATATGCCACAAACACAATATATTATCAAAGACTGAAAAGACTATTACCTAAAATACTGAAAGAATAAATTATAGACAAAAATCAATTAAATTAATTTTCCGAATTCAAAATACCACCAACTAACAAATAGGACATGAGCCAATGGGTGTCCCTCTAAACGATTCAGCACTCGGAATGCTTTCTGCAGCCCCCTCTCTGCCCTTCCTCTTCTCTCCTCTCGTGGCATCTTAAAGAGTTCTTTCCCGGACGTGTTTAGCCTGAACACCCCTCCCTGGTCTGACCGAGGCTGGCTCCAAGCTCTCCACCAGGCACTGTGGTGGACATGGCCCACAGACATCTCTGGTTTCCCTGGACCTTGGTGCGGTGGCTCGTTACTGCCAGAACAGAGCAGTCCTAAGTAGAGGAACCACCTCTAATTTAACATCGCTTTTAGCTTTGTCTTGGTTCCTTGTACAAGTGCAGAATGTGAGTAAAGAGTTCATCACACTATTCTTCTATCTTTTCTCTAAGTTTCAAATTATTTCAAATAGCAAGAGACAGAAAGCACAAAAGGAAAAATCACATTTAGCGTGTTAGAGAGGAGAAAAGAGTATGTATCACAAAGTGTCCACAGCACGCACGTTCATATACTCTATCACAGCGCTGTGTCAGGGAAAAGAAAGGGTAAATACAATGTTTTATATATTGAGTTTCTAAAGCACTGGCATAAGACCTAAAGTAAATGACTTAAGCCAGGGAAATATCACTTTTCGTGATCTTTTGGGAAAAGGAGGGGAAAGAGTATTAAGGAAAATAACTAAGGAAAAAAGCATTAATAAGGAAAAAAAGTTTTAAAACCAACAGGTCCTAAGGCTACAGAATGATTTTGTGGCTTACGTGCTTGGCCCACAGGACAAGTTCTAAGGTTGGAACACAGAAGCTATGAAACCCAATGCCTTATGCCACCTCTATTCACCCAAATGACATCCATTTTTCAGACTACTCCATGGGTTACTTCTTCTGTAAAGCCTCAACGCCTGCCCACCCACTTTCCCAACTCGCTCCAAGACACCCTCAGCAACCAGAGGGCCCGTCCGTCTGTGAGCTTGTGAAGCAGGGGTCTGAGCCTCTGCTGGGAAGCTTCACTTCTATGTTTACATCACACGAATCTGCCCACATTCCTTCCCTCCCACGTATTAACCTACACGTTGAGCACAGGGACCAAGCTTCCCAACCATCCTTGTTTCTTCAGCACCTGAGACAGCACCTAAACACGGGGGACCCAGAAGTATTCTTTCCATAATGGTTCTGACTAACGAACGTGAACTAATTTAAAATGATTACAGCACCCCTTTCAAAGCACTAACACATACATCACATTTTTTAAAGATCTCTACCCACACCCCCCTCAAACATTTAAAATATTCTAACACTTAAAGGGCAAACAGCTAAATGGAAAGAAATCACAGCTCACCAGAACTCACCACCCAAAAGACTTGAGAAAGGTCAGGCTTTTTACTACACTCATCGTTCAAAGAAGAGATGTATCTATCAACTTTCACTAATGCCAAAAAGATGGCTCATTTTAAATCTGGAAGGAAAAAAAACCACCAAAATTTTGGGCTCTTTTTAAAAGACGAGCAAATACCTCTTCCGGTTCAGGAGCAACCTGGCGGTCAGTGATCTCATTTAATTCATCTTCAGCAACACGGTCTTCCTGCTCTTGGAGCCCGTGCTGCCCACAAGCCTGCAAGTATTCTCCATCCTGACAGCCGTTAGAGAGAAAGTAAGTTTTTCTCATATAGCTTTGGGTTTTTACAAGCACTTTTCATCTTCAGCACTCATGCTTAGTTATTTTGGCAGATTTTACTACGGCTATTGCCCGACTAAGCAGAGAGCACCCAGCACAAACACAGAATGCGCCCTCCCCTGTGTTCATGAGGACGGAGTGCAGTACGCTAGCCCGGTCGCTGAGCTTAGTGACATAGCTCTGCTTCAAATCCAAGCACCCTGATAATTAGCGCTACTTAAAATGAGCACGAAAGAAAAGTCTTCTTAAAAACAACGTGCATATGCTCACACAGCGCAGCTCAGCAGCAGTAAGGGGGCTGAAATCATGCGAAACTTGAACCATTTTTACGGCAATAGAAAGCAACAAAAGTGTGAACCATTCAACTCAACACAAGAGCTTTATCAGCAATCACATTAGAACTTGTATCTCCATCAGTCCATCCCTTGAATTAAACAGGGGACTCCCCAGCTTTGTAGGAAATGGAAGGGGCATGTCAGCAGGCAGGCGTCCCCTGAAGGGCATATGGAGGGAAGCAGACAAGCTGGCTAAAGACAATTTGAGAGAAAGAAGGGTTCCTGCAGACATCACCAAGTAACAAGGACATGTGATCCTACGCAGAGAGCTGAACTTCCCAGTGTGCCTGGTCACTGGCTGAAATGCACAGTGGGTGGTTCCAAGACAAACAACCAAGAGTGAGCACGGACAGAACCCGAACACACTCCTGTGGAGTAGACAAGAGCTGCACCTAGAACGCCCAAAGGAAGCAGCTGTATTCAAGATGAGACACCATCTTGGACCCCACAAATGTCTCTGAGACTATCTGAACACACTGCGTTTTACTCTCCAGAAGAAACTGTTCGCATCCTATCAAAAAGAGAAACTGGCACCACCCGCAAGTCACTGACAGCCAACTGTCGGGTTTCAAATACGGCCAGACGATGGTACTGAAAATTTTCAGCTAACGTACAATGGAGAAGAGCCCATCTCACTGGATTCGCACCAAGAAACAACAACCTGCTGCCCTTCCCATATACTATCAATCTGAAATTGTTTTTACAGAACAGTGTTTTCAGAAATCTCAATCTATGTTCATTTTAAAGGCTCTAAATGGATTGTGCTTAAAAGTATAAATCACCCAACAATTTTCTAATATTCTGTTAAATAATAAGTGATATAAACCTTTTAATACAAGAGTACACGTTTTTAAATCAAATCCCAATTCACTCTCAAGATCAGCACTGGCGAAAACTCCTAATACCTAAGGAACGTCTTGCTCTAGCTCTGTCTCAGAAATAAACATTAAAAAAATAAAAATTAAAAAAAATAAAAATAAAAAAAGGGGGCGCCTGGGTCGCTCAGTCGGTTGAGCGTCCGACTTCAGTTCAGGTCATGATCTCGCAGTCTATGGGTTCGAGCCCCACGTCGGGCTCTGTGCTGACAGCTCAGAGCCTGGAGCTGCTTCAGATTCTGTGTCTCCCTCTCTCTCTGCCCCTCCTCCGCTCATGCTCTGTCTCTGTCTGTCTCAGAAATAAGTAAACATTTAAAAAAAAAAAAAAAAAAA